CTATTCTTCCCCTGTCTCAGTCCTCTTGTTCTCCTCCCCCTCCCCTTCTCCCCTTCACACTTCCTTCCTCTCCCCCTCTCACTTTGGCCCTCTCCCCTTCTTTGAGGGACTATGCAATCTTCTCTTGGGGTCCTCCTTGTTTCCTAGCTCCTCTGGCAGTGTGGATTGTAGACTGGTAATCCTTTGCTCTATGTGTAAAAATCAACAATGCCTCTCTTAATTTAAGTTATAATAGCTAGTTGAGACAAGCCTAAAGTAAAGGTCAAACTTTCATATTTAATAATAAATCTTGGGTCATTATTTTCAGGCTGGTGGTCCAAAGATAGTCCAACAAGAAAGCTTGCTACACAACTTTTATAGATACACAATAGAAAAAGAAGACTCTCTGTAAAGCAATCTTGTTTCTAATTCAAATAAAAAAAATCTGCAAAAAAAAAAAAAGAAAAGAAAAGAAGAATCTCCCAAAAGCTGTATTGGAACAGAAACAGAAAGATTTTTGGCTCAGCAGCCTAGAATGCTTACTGTTCTTGCAAAAGAACCAGCCAGGTTCAGTTCCAAGCACCCACATGGTGGCTTACACCCTTCTCTAACTCCAGTTCCAGGAGATCTGGTTTCTGACCTCCTTGAACTCCTGTATGCATATGGTGCATATATATGCACTCAGGCATACACACATACACAGAAAAATAAATGTTTTTAAAATCTAAATGTACCAAGGAACATTTCATTTTCTTTTCAATATAGGTTAGTGATTGCTGTTTGTTATTTTGTTTATATTTCCCTTTTTATACTTATATTTATTAAGAGGAAACAATAGTATGACTCACAGATTTTAAGTATCCAAGAAGTAAATTGCTGACAGAAGACAAAACTGAAAAATAGCCCCATATTTTTTATCTACTAGTCTATTAATTACCATTAGCTGTTGCTATTATTTGTTGTAACAAATTGCTTTGTGTAGATAATACCAGTTATACAACAGAAGACTAAATTAAAGAATTAAAATGAACATTAATTTTCAATTAGAATACTGTGTGTTCTAGAATACTTCTTACATGTTATCTTATGCATTTCCTACACAGTACAGTTGTGTTCTGGGTTGTCTTTCTAAAGGCTAATCACCCTAATAGTATAATAAAGTACATTGGGAAAAGATGGTAGAAACAAGGTACTACTTGTATATTGCATACACAAGTTTTAAAAACAAAACTGTGAGCCGGGTGTTGGTGGCACGCCTTTAATCCCAGCATTCGGGAGGCAGAGGCAGGTGGACGTCTGTGAGTTCGAGGCCAGCCTGGTCTCCAGAGCGAGTGCCAGGTTAGGCTCCAAAGCTACACAGAGAAACCCTGTCTCGAAAAAAAAAAAAAAAAAAAAACTGTGGAGGTTAAACAGTGCCTTTTCTTTTTCTAAGTGTTATATACTGTGTACAAACTACTCATTAGTTTTTACTTATTTTAAAAGAGTAGGCATTGTTAGTTTTGAACACTGGTCAGCTGTGCTAAGCAAGGGGAAAAGACGCTACATAATGAGGGTTCCCACCGGAAATAATACGTTGCTAAGGGGGGGCACGGACGTGACGGGGGGGCAGTAGCGTGTGCGTGCCTGCGCAAGCAGTGCGTGCCATCAAATTTCAAAATGGCTGTGTGGAGATCGGTTGATTTTGACGAGATCATCGAGGTGTCTGATGAGGTAAACTTCTCTACCCAAAATGAAAGGTTGTCAAAGCCCCTAAAGTTTAAGGTGTGGCGGGGGGAGTACTACCGGAGAATTTTAAGTAAAACAGTTTTTGTTATACATAAGAGATTCCCTTCGGTTGTGCGGAAGTGAAGGAGGCCTCGTTCCATTTTAGCACGCAGTTGGTGTAAAGGTGTTTCTTACCGTCACAGCTCTGGAACTAAATAGCGAAACACGATGAGATGTGATGTAATTTCGTAAGGTCACCCTGATAGGACTTGTTCCTACTTAAGGGGCTAAAGGAAAGATAGGATGATAGGTCGTGTCTGATCTAGGGGGTCAGGGCAACTATTTCAAAGGCGGAAGGTAGATAGA